AAAGAAGTAATGATATGAAAAGCAATGAATGAGCCATTTGGGCTAAGACAAATTTCATTTACTTCAAGAACCAGTAGATCTTTCTTACTGAAAATACTACTCATATATTGATATTAGATTTTGAGCGACCATGTTTGTTGTTTGTTGTTGGCGACCTTGTTCGGTAATTTTATGGCCTCTCCTTACTATTCTATTGAAAACACACTGTGCGTTTTGAATAGAGGCAATATGATGAAATACGTTCATATCCAAAAGTTAATGCACTCTTTGAAGCAAAGTTTCGGAGCAATATAACCGTACACTCCAGCACAACCTATTCCTTCTTTAATTTCGCGATAGAAATGCATTTTCCAAAGATCTTTACAATTAAATACACAACAATCAGTGCAATAATCACAACAGCAAATAACACATCAATGAGAAAATACTGTACGAAGGAGAGCTTCCGTCCATATGGATCCAAATTGGGCAAGCGTCCAAATCTTGAATATTAGAAGTTGTTTAAGATGTAGTGCTGCATACACCGTACACTGTTAACACTGAGAAAGGACAGAAATGATTTTGGATAGGCCTTTGTAGGCCTTTCCGCATTAAGGCAGCGCGCGAGTGAGTTTGCTGCTTTTCTATGATTTGATTTTACTCTATTTTCAGTTGATCTCTTCATAAGAGAAAGAACATACCTGGCCGCAAATTCGCAATGCCGAAGTAAGAGCAGCTTAGGGTTGATTGGCTGATTAATGAGCATTTGAGACAAGCGCCTAGCATTCTCAGCATAGCTACAAGCATAGTAAAAATATTCTCCTCTATCCTGTATAATGGTCTACTGCAGTATTGCAGTAATCATGGAAAACATATCACTGAAAACATGTCAAACCTGGCATCATTTATTATTTCATGGAGAGCATTTTTCAACTTTTCAGGTGAACTCAGATCATGCTTTGATAGTACAATTCCTGTTCCGTGCTTAGCAAGCATTCGAGCATTTCTCGGCTGTTCCGCAAAGAGAGGGATCTAGAAACTTTGAAAACTCAGACTTGAAAAGAATAGCTGGTCACAAGTTACACACAATTACTGCCGGCTTTCCTTGATATGCAAGTTCAGTGATGCTGCCGAGGCCTCCATGTGTAACAAAAGCGGTCAAACGGCTGTCAGCTGAAATAAGCTGGATGTGGCTTTCCAAACTACAGTAGAGAGACAATTTTTACTGAATATCTCTTCTTGAAATGACTAAAGTTCAGTTATCAATTTTCTTTTTCTTACTATAGCATATCATATCTTGATTCAAACGAGTGAATCATCAAATCTCGCCATTTCATTTGAGTATAACTACTAGAAAATGGCTCAATGTAATTCAAATCGAAACAACTTATCACACGCTAAACCCTCACCAAGTAGAGCATTCTGTGGGAACCATGTGCTGAGATGAACATTATGAAGATGTTCAGCAAATTTAGATCCCTCCACTTCATAT